TATAATGTGAGGGTGAGGCAGGCCATTATAAAACTCTGAGCTTTTAGCATTTAATGGCTGTTGCTGAACATTTACGAGTTGTTGTCAGAAATGTTATGCGTTATTTATTTATTTATTTTTCTGAGATTTTGCAATTTTCAACCCCTCACAGTTTAAGAACCACAAATTAAAAGGCAAAATTGTTTGGATCTGTATGAAATGTACATTATTTCTGTTTAACTGCTTGGAAGAAAGATGAATCCCCTCTGACTGATCTGACTACTGCCCAACTTTGAGACTATCCCTGGAAATCCTATAAACTGTACCTTTTCCCTTTTAAAATACATTTTGCCTTTTAGAGCAAGAACTTTATTTCCTGAATATAAATCAAAATGAATAAAAACAAAATGTATTGTACAAATTTTGTAGAAATTCAATTAAATTACTCACTCTCGGTCTCAAATGACAAAATATAGCCAGAAAAGCACGTTCTGTCTTTGCTCAAACCTCGTTACACACAAGGAGAAACTGGTTATTTTAATCCCCAGGATTAATAACTCCAAATATTTCTTTGCAGGAAAATCCTTTTAATTACTCTAAGTTACATAAGATGGCCTTTTACTGTATTTGACACAAAACTGTATTTCATGCTGTTGAACTAAGGTTAATTGGAAATGTTCTACTGAAAATATAACCCGACAATATTCGGTTGTTGTTCTCTCTTCATTAAAATTTCCATAATTGACTTCAAGCTCTCTTATCCAAACAACAAGCTAATCGCTGGTCGTGACCTTAATCCTGACAAATTTTCTACTAATGGCATCATTCTTAAGGCAGTAAGCTGAATTATCTTTGTTAATTAAAACAAAGCAAATTACAAACCTCATACAACTAATAGGTCTACCAACAGAAGCCCCTGACTCATCATTTCTTTGCTTTAAAATCTCCCATGACTCAGCCACTCAATCAGTGATAATTATTGATCCTACATCAATATACCATAATAATATAACAGAAGAATCACGTGCGATCGATGCGATTTTGTTTGTTTGTTGGGATCTTTTCTGGTGTATTGATTGTTAGGGTGAGCAGTCCATTATGAGATCAAAGATAATTTATAATCGGATAGATGAAGGTTTTTGAAGTCTTGGTTAAGGTTTAAGGCTAAGTGGTGAGTTTAAGGTAGGTTAAATTTAGTTTGCAAATCATTGAAAATGACACATAAAAATGGCTGCACAAGCTTGTGTGTATGTGCACATGTTTGCAAATGATCTGGCTCAGAACATCCGCAAGAAAAAGAAAGGATGGGGACAATCAGCTGGTCAAGTCTTCCTCCAGCTACCTCGTTAAACTGGCAAATACAACATGTTGATTTATTCCACTGACTTAATGGAAATGAAGGGAAATGGAGAAAAATTACAGGAACAACAGAAGGAAATAAACTGAACTATGACATGAAGTTAGAAACAAAAGAGAGAGGAGGCATTGAATAAAAGCCCAAAGAGGTCTGGCTCTGCATGTCATCATGAATAAAACATGCTCCGAGTGCAAAAGTCTTGAGTCATTCCTCATTTCTTTATAATTTGCATAAAATAAATGAATAATAAACACATCATTTTGTGCTATGTAAGTTTATATTTTTATGACAGTGACTTGTAAAAGGGGAAAAAAATAGGTTCCTGTTTGGACACATCTTAGTTTTTTTCACTTTCAACATTCTCACTGCAGCCTGTACAAACTGAGTCACTGTAAATCATATTTTCACTTTTGAGCAAAACTATCTTTCTTAAAACTGTTATGTTTGTACAAATACTGCAAGATGCTGAACTATAACCTCAAGGGAACTGAATTTCTTGAATACAAATGATCATGTATACACAGGAAGCAATAAAAACGCAGCTCCAAAAGGTCATTTTCATTTATTCATATGTGCTTTTAATAAAACAAAGTCAATTTTTGTCTTCCTTGAATAAATAAGGGTCAAAAAGGTCAATTGATTATGAACCAGAGAGCAGGATAGGATTAATAACGTGTAAAAAGAAAACAAAAACAATTGTTATAGAAAACCACTCATCATGTCGGCCATTACTGAGAGACCAGACATGTTTCTGTGCACGAGGGGATTTAACACTAGAAAAAAGTCACCAGTTTGCCCACGTTTGTAAAGTCTACGTTGATTTTTTTTCCCCACATTCTGCAAATACAGATCACGAGTCTGACAGATGTGGGTAGGCAGATGTTTGGCTGTAGATATTCATATTCAGACAGATAAACATTTTTAAACATACAGTTCAGTAAAAAGGATTTTATTTTGAAAGAGTTGCTAGGTGAAGTTAAATTGTAAGCAATCATCAGCTGTAAAAGCTAAACGTGAAATTGCCTTTATGGGCTTTACCATAACTAAAACCAAGACAATCATATTAAACTTATTTTTCTAAGGATTTATAATCCTTTTGTCTTTACCATGGGTGTATTAATATAAATGTTTATGTAATCTTCTTCCTGTCCAGCATCAAGTTGAAAATCCTAAGCACAAGGATATATTTGCAAAATTTTATTAGGAAAATTAGCAACTAAAATCCACTTTGCGTGAGTATCTATCACAATGCTGAACAGGTTAAAATGAAGCATGGAGTCTGGCTGAGGGGCGGTGAGGATGTATGAATGGATAAATGATGGTGATGAAGGGGACAAAAATATGGCAGCAAGAGACGAGCACTGATGATGTAAGTGAACATGGTGCATTTGTTTTATGCAGTGTAGCATCACGTAGTGCGACAAAAACAGGAAACGTTCCTCTTTGTGCAAATCCGCTTCTTTAATACTGATGCAAGTACAGTGGCAAGAAAACATTTTGTCCCTTTTTAAGCAAACAAAATTAAGTAAATAAAAACTTTGCCCATACATTTATACAGATCCAACAAGATTTCATGCTGTGAAAAGTGAGCTGGTTAAATGATTAATATTCTCTTACACATCACTTTTGTTCCATATTGAAGTATACTGTATATTTAAATTACAAGTATACTGTATATTTAAAATTACTTGCAATAAGAAATATGTAGCAGACAGATAAAGCAAGCTATGGCACATTTTTATGAGGGTAGGTCGCATTTTAAACGTTAAGGATCAGTTTTGATCATTTTTTTCTATTTATACATATATAAATAAGATTTTGGCATTAAACTCTTTTGTATAAGGTTCATTCAGTTTCATGCATCTCCTGTCATTGTGACACAAAGTCCTAAATCTTATTTTTCAATAACCAAATCAGCAACTATTATACAAATGACTAATTTGTCAAGCAGGATAGCAGGACTGAGAGGGGCTCCCTCCCCAAAAAAACAAACTCATAAACAGCAATGATGACTGACAGATGCACAATATATATAATATACATATATATTTTGTTTAAAATGATAAGAGGCAATGACAAAGAACACGAGGTGGAATCTTCCACAAAGAGGAAAAAACAAATGTTCCCTCCTCTGGTTGGCAACTATGAAGCTGTCAGACATTTTAAAAAGGAAAAAAACATTAAGGATTTTTTTGACCAACAATTTTTATTTATTTTTTAACCATTTCTGTTTGAGAAACTATACATTCTAAAACTGCACAGGTTTCAAGTTTTGTTTTGGCTCAGTTTTTCCATGTGTTCCCATTTAAGCTACTGATGATTTCTGTTGACTCTAAAAGTAGAATATCAAACAAACAAACAAACAAACATGTCTTCACTCATTATGAACACTTTGTATCATATACTGTATGTTCTTCATTTGGATCCAACTGATTCTTTGACTTTTCAAATTAACCAAATCCAAGTCTATGATTTACAGTAAAACAAGTTAGTTACTTTCGGCTGCTCCCTTCTTCAGGGGTCACCACAGCGACTGAGCTCGCATAAAATATTTGGCAATTGTTTTACACTGGATGCCCTTCCTGACGCAACCTGGGCTCCAACTTGCAGCCTCAGGATTGCAAGACCGCAGCACTGACCACCGAGCTACCGCACCCCCCAGTTTACAGTAAAACAAGTCTTTCAAAATAAAGTTTGGTTCAAAAACCTATGAAACATTTCACACACATAATTTTTTATCTATATCATAAGAATTAGACATAAAAGCTACATATAAGCTATATATATATATATATTAGCATAAATTAGATTTACACAAAAGCACCAAGAACTTTTTTTGTAAATATGGTCCAAACCAAAGCTCTGTTGATCAAAAAGCTTCTTTTAGTGACATGAAGGGAAATGACAATAAAAAAGAGCTACTTTAAAACATAAAAGTCCTTGCTACAGAATAGTTTGTGGAATTTATTTCATGTTTGGCACCAAAATCAAAGCAAGTCACTGAAGTGATGTTTGGTTCTGTGGGTCGAAGACATACAAGTCATTATGTTGCTTCAAGTATAAAGTTTGACATTTAAAGCGAAAACATTCTAACTTGACTGAACGGCATGTCACAGAGGTCTGCTGGAGTGATGATGTTTAAGCTCGATGGAAGGACATCTTTGAAATAACAGAGTGAGGTATAGGAATACTTTGACATTTTTGCTTCACACGATAGTCAACTTTAATATTACTCACGTGATTGGAACAGTACGGGATACAGTAAAAAGGTTTTTTTGATACTTTGGATAGGCGCCGCCATCTTGTAGTTTTCTCTCAATAAGCCTACACTGTATCGCCACTCAAAAGGACTACATTTCCCAGAAGCCAACAGTGCTTCCAGCCATTGCCTTCTGCTGAAATGTGGGGGAAGTTATGATCTGATCAGAAAAATTTTGGTCCTTATTCATAGTGACTTCAATGCCCAGCGGATGCAGAGAGCCACAGGGAACCGACTGGGACCCAGACCAGAACCGGACCTTCACTCATCGGTGAATCTGAGTGCCACCCGCCGGCCCACGAGACCTTCTGAGAAGAAGAGGCGCCGCCCAGAGGTTTGACGTTCTCTCTGGAGCCCACTGGGGCTTTTTTTATTCGGATTTGGACTCGATCGGACCATCGTCTGGTCCCGGGGTCTGGGTAACCCTCATGATAAATGAGGGACTACTGTAACTACACTCTTCTGGCATAAGTAAAACGTCAAACTACTCCTTTAAAAACATTAAATAGAAAAAAATCTGCTCAAATTAAAGAATAAATAAGAAATTTTTAATTAAGATCGGTTAGAGCATGTATATGATAAAAATAAGTAGACATCAATATTTAGTTATAGTCAAAAACAAAGTGTTCGGGTGAAATCTTATAAATAACTGTAACGGTGAGCGTGCGTCAGCTGTTGAGCTAACTCGTTAGCGAGTGTGTTGGTGGGTGGGGGTGCAGGTGAAGCTAACTGTGAAGGATGAGGGCATTCTGTTGAAGCTATAGCTGCCTGATGGGGGGAAGGTTGAGGGTCTCCAGAGCGCTGTGGTACAGTTCCCTCAACGCTCTTAACAGATACAGACGACACAACATCTGGTTGAAGAGATGAGGCAATGGCTCCTGAAATTAATAAACATATGTTAACAAAATTAATACAACAAACAAACAAAGATGCTACAATTTTGTTTATTTGCTATTATTGTTTGAACCTCAGACATAAAATCAATGTAAAATATTCTTACAGAAATTAACAACCAAACATTATTTACATTATATACTGTATGTTATGATTCAATAAAACCCATGTAATAAGTATTTATACATACAAACACAAATATGTTCTCACCCCGAGCACGTGCACTCTGTTGTAGTACGAACTGAAGTCTTTACTGAGAGACACGAGGAACTTACAGATCTGAAGGACACAAACATGAACGTTAGACAGAAATTTTCAACAACTGACTTTATTTAATAAGATGTTATGAATGCTTGATTTATTGCATGTGCCTGTTCAGTCTTAATGTTCACTCTGGCTCCTCCCCCTTCACAATCTAACGCTTCTCCTGATTGGTTGAGCAGCTCAGAGAATGGGATGAGGTAATTGAACAAGAGAAGCCACTCGCCCTGTCAAACAACAACCAAGTGGTTTCATTAGTGCTGCTAAACTGTGAAAACCAGAAATGATTTATTAATTTTTATTAAGCAGAAAACAAAGAAAAGAATTAAAAGTAAAAGAATTTGAAAACAGAACTGTGTATCACCTCTTCTTTGAGAGCAGAAAAGTCCAGCTTGGAGCCTTCTGGGATTTCTGGATACAACCCTGCAGATAAACCAGTTAATTAAAAAAAACTATAAAAACATGAATGTTCAATTTTAAAACTTAAAAATGCAGCTGTAGCCAAAGAGCGCCACAACACCATGTTCAAAACAAACAATAAAATATTTGCCCTTCATATAAAAGATGCTTTCTTTTGTTTCCATGAATTTATTGTATTTATTTTTTATATGCATGTAATAACCTTCACAGGATAAATAATTTGTGCCCAAGTTTTTCCAGTATTGCATAATAAACTCTATTCCTGATGTCCTAACCTAATTTTTAACTATTTTTACTCACTTCTTTTATCTTAATTTACAAACCGCAGATCTAATCTGCTGATCAATTGCTTACAAAATATTAATGAAACATGCACATCTGGACAGAAATTAACAAGCTGACATAGCAAAGGCTTGTTAAAATGTTGCCATGTGTGTCAAAATCACAATTAAAGAATCTCTAACAAAAATATTTGACTTCCATATTTTTCTAACTTTGGTTTGTAATTGATGACAATGTCCCCAGAATAGAACATACTTCCATATCTTAAATGTCCTTCCACAACTGAACAAGTGACAGATGTGTCAGAAAGTTATATAACTGAGAAATTATATCAAAAAGGACACATTGTATTTAAAGTTTCAGCAGGAAGAGGCACTTCTTCCCTTCCTGTGATGGCAGGTTGTGGTGCTAATTTTACCTTTTAGTTTTAATAATATACCTAAAAAGTCATATTTCTGTTAAAATGTTCATATTTAGAGAAAGCTGAAAAGACATTAGGGCCAGCTTGAATTTGATAATTAAGTGTTTATATTTTTTCTTGGTGGATATATGAAAAATCAGTGGTTGTAATTAGACTTTAACTGTGAGAAGGGAAAATAAATAAATCATTGCATGTAAACGGAGTAGTGGAAAATGTAAAACACCGGTTCTGGGCTTCTGTTCAGTTGTCTACAGGTACAGTAGCGTCTGATACGATTCTCAACTATTATTTTACTCCTAAAACAAGTTTAATGTTTAACATTGTTTTCTTTTTGGAATCGCTGATCAGTGCTGGCTGGCATTTTGGAATGAGCATTTTAAAGAGACAGAAGCAGAAATGGAAACCTTCACACAGAAAGGGGATGCTGCAGTAAGGGTAAAGCTGCATGACGCTGCTGTTTGTTAGTAAAAGTGATCTCAGAGTTAAAACGAGTCACAACTCCCACCCCTCTCCACGCCGCTCTCGTAGCTGTCGAACAGAGTGTGCAGTCTGGCGCAGTTATACATCACAAACACTCCTCCTCGCGGCCCTTTGGTTGACACGCTGCCTTCTCTCTGTAGGTCCAGCGTCACCTGAACAAATGGCTGTCAATCATTCGGAATATTCATAAACATCCTAGAAATTTTAAAATAGCTGCTGCCAATCATGGCCAAGTCTCTACTGAAAAACATTTTTAATTTCAACGAGATCTACCTGGTTAAATAAAGGTTTAATAATATAATAATAATTAAATGTTTCTGATTACAGAGAAGTAATTTTATTAATCTATGTGAGTAAATTTTGTCCTTTAAAACATTGTACAGGACAGAGATCCAGTTGACTCACAGGACTTGTGTGAACTGTTGATAGCAGCTCAAATCTGACCGTGGCAGAGGTCATCACCTTGATGATGTCATCCCACGTCTGACCTACAAAAGACGTCTCATGTTGTTCATTCAAATTTTGCTTACCAGTATATTTGCTTAACAGAAAGTGTCAGAAGTTACAGCTATAAGTGATGAATAAATATATATTAAATACACACCTACTGTAAACAGCACAAAGCTTTTAAATGTAAACACACCTTTTACTTTATCTCCATATTTCATCTCTGAGGCTTCCTTCATCTGACTTTCTCTCAGCCTAGAAAAGACAAGAACAGGGTTTTTAGTTTAGAACTTACAAGAAGAGAAAGGAACTGTACTGTAACACAATCAAAGCTGACAAGGAGACAAAATAGGAGTAAATCAAGATTTAAAAGTAGATATTCTAGAGTACTGCAATAACAAGTAAATCTCACTGCATGTTGCATCTTGTTCAACCCAAGCACTTAAATAAACATTTCATTAAACGAGCTTTTGAGTCTCCTGGTCTTCCCTGAAGATGGACCTCAATAAGAATCATTACACATGACCTCATCAATTTTAAAGAAAGTGATGCGTCTTACTGCAGGTACTGTGCAGCAGTGAGGTGACAACCAGGAGTCTTCACAGGTCCACACACAAGATGTCTCTGCAGCCAGAGAGCGAAACGGATAAAAGGAGGAGCACAATCTGCTGCTGTGTGTGTGTGTGTGAGTGGGGGTGTGTGTGTGTAACCTGAGTGTGTGTCGCTCCACTGGCTCTCCAAAGCATTGCTATCTGCTGCTGGCGAAACTCATCCTGACAAGAAGTCACATGTATTGTTGTTACCATGGCTACCTGCAAAAGAGGCAGAAAGGATATTTTCCGCAGACTGAAAGAAAACCCGTGTTTGTGTATTTCATATTTGTTTGTCTCACTGTGCAGTCAGCTGTGGCCAGATCAAGCTGCGCCAGGTGGGAAACGCTGTCTCTGTGAACTGAAAAGAAAAAAACAAAAACGTTGCTTGCTTTAAATATCATTTAGTCTACTTTTACAATGAAAAACACTTTTAATGCATAAAAGAACATGTTTGCCTTGGCAGACAGCCAAACCACTTTAACACTATTTATCAAACAAGACTGAAGAAATGAAGCATGGGATAATAAAAAAAATATATATATTTTTTTGTCTAATAAGTTCAAAATAAGTCAAAAGATTTCAGGTTTTTATACAAAAAACTGTTTTGATGGACTGTTTCATTCACAGAAGAAAAGTAGGTTGTTTCTACAAACGTTTATTAAAAATGTAACAGTCATTACAGAAAAATGAAGGGAAATGAGCACGTTAAAAAAAATGCCATAAATAAATGTGTAATTAATTCTTAAAATCGAGTAAACGTGCCCACATGTGCTCACCTGTGCAAGAGCCCAGGGTGGGGTCATATCCCAGTAGCCCCTTCTCCTGAAAAACCTGCTTCAAGTTAATTCTGAGCACCCCCTCGCGCTCCTCCTTCTCCTCCTCTCCCTCTGCTTTCCTCCCTCCTCCACCGCTGGTCCTCCTGCCTCTCTCTGTTTCTCTTTCTCTGTAAGGTGAGTTCTCCAGCACCTTGAGGAGCTTCTCCTCCCGTTCCTCATTGGACCACTCGGCTGGAGCTGTTGGCCAATCGATTCCCAGCGCTCGGAGGAAGGAGACAACATCGCTATCTTCAGGAAGCGTCGGGCAAAACAAAACTTCAAATCTAAGACAGTAAAGATACAATCATCATCATCAAAACAGTGTTTTAATAAATCATTGGCAATTTTTCTTGTCCCATTGTTCACTCACCCCTGTCTTCTCAGTAGTGCCCCCATGTGGTCAACCAGCAGAACAGTTCTTAGCTGGCCCAGGTTCAGTGTATCAGATGTGGGGGTGTTAGGTCTAGGATGCAGTGCAGGACAGTTGAGCAGCACATAGCCCTCCCTCTGACCCGAGGGCTTTAGATAGTCTGTGGTTCCACCTGCCAGGACTGCCCTGAACGTTGCAGCCCGGTCCACCCGCAGCCTCAATCCTTCACCCATCACCTCCCCACCAGCCACAGGGAGCACCCCACTGCCACGAAGAGACAGGACTCTGGACATCACTGTTGGAGGAACCTGTGGAGATTTAACAATAAATTCTTATGGAGTTCAGCTACAAAAAAAAAAAAAGTTCTTTCATTAGAGGAAAAAAATATTTCAGGACAAATTCATGCTCAAATTAAAAACATTTTAAACCACAATCAGCTTATGTTGAGAAATTACAGAGCTGTTGCAATTTTGGTCAAAGACGAAGAACATGTATATATCATATGAAAGTATCATGCTCAGAGTATGTGTTGGGGATGACTTTCAGCTACTACCACATCAAATGTTACCCTGATAACTGTAAAACCGACATAGTCTGAGCCATTTTTGTGTTGACTAAAGACAGTTAGCTGTAGCGGCTAGCTTGAAATGGACTGACTCCAAAAGCAAATCAGTTTTGGATCCACATTAAATACTTACTTTCTGCAAAATTCAAAAAAAGTGCATGAAATTTTTGGGTAATAAACAGACACATGATCACACACGTCTGCTGCCTTTGCCTTTCAGCAGCACGAGAGAAATACTGACGTGCAACAGAATTGTGGAATTTACACAAATAGTTCTACCTTAATAAATACATAACAAAAAAAAAATTTAATATATTTTTGCTAATAGAAATGACATGTACTGGGTAAAACTACCAATTAATAGTTGCTGCTTACAGCTATGGTTGCATGTCTTATTTTGAACAGCAACACTTGATAGAAATCACTTTTATAAAAGTGATTTCTATCCTAATAAAGCAATAGTTTAGTGTGTGCAATCTGACTTTCAGAACATCCAGCTGAACCATATTTTTGCCACATGAGTTACTAATTGCAGCTGCAGGCTTTTGGTGTCTAATCGATCATTGGAGCAAAGTGTCTGGGTCATTTTATGTTATCTAGAAACATAAAATGAACTTTCAACAGCGTTTTAGGGCGAAATTATAATTCGCATTAACAGTGTAATTAATTGTCTATGCATTACTTTTGCACTCTTGTATTTCTACAATGAACAAATATCAGAGAATCATAAAAAATAAAGACTTCCGAGGAACTATATTGCGTAGCGGAGGAGTAATGGCCTAATAACTTTTATGCGTTGTAAAGAGAACGTGATGGTGCGTGGTTAGCGGTTTTTTTTTTTAAGACTATTTTTACGCACTCAGCACTTGTCAGTACGACAAGCGTTAATTTTAAGTAAAATGACGACGAAAATGATTAACGAGGCATTTAAATAGTGAACCTGACAGGTGTAAACCGAACCAACCTGTCCGTCAGCGAACAGCGTGTTTAGCATCGTGCTCGGTGACAAGAAGTCTCTGTTTCGTAGGTTTTTCGCGCTGCTCTCCTTGAACCAAAGCTTCTCCGGTTCTGGGAATCCTCTGTCGCCTTCCCCTCGTCTGGAGTCCTGGACATTTTCACGCTTGCCTCGTAGCGCGGAGCTGAGAGCTCGGACAGTCGGTGTGATCCGCAGGGGCGAGAGCTCCTCGATGAGCTCCTCCATCACCGCCGCAGCAGACAGGTAAGTTTGTCGCCACGCTATCAAAACATGCACTCTCTGCTCATATTTCCTGTCAGTCGATGGTTACGTTGTGAAAAGTTCAGCTCGGTTTGCGTTTTGCTAGCAGCTGAGCTGGTCGATGTCAGATATCGGCTGTAAATGAGGACTACTTGACTTGTTTACCGGAACGGAACTGAAAGCACAGACGCTGTTTCTGTCCAGTTGCATTTTCGAATCGAACCAGTAGGGTTCCATCTAGTGGGTAGTAGAGGAACTGCAAGTTTAATTTGTCAACATAGTTATCTTAAGCAAATATTTTGTTGTATTTATTATAGCATAATCTTAATGATGTTTTATAATGTACATAATCGTTTTAGATTACTTTTTTCCAACAACCACTGAGAAAAAAAGTGTACATGGCCCCAACTGAAGCCTTTGCCAGATTTGGAAATTTCTTAGCAGCTTTAGGCTTTCCTGTAATAATTTAGAATTATGTTTTAAAATCTGTAACATTTAGTTTTGTTTTAATCTTATGTATTTCAAATAAAGAAAAAGGTAATGGGTAGACATTAAATGCTTACTGAACTAAGGCTTTATGGAATTAAAGAACAACTACCACTAAAGAGAGGCATCATTAGGTGAGTCCATAGTCCCTAGTGTTATCTGTTATGCTGTTTATTTGTCATATTCATTCAACCTTTATTTATACAGGTTAGTCTCATTGAGCCTCAGGGACTCATTTACAAGAGACTTTTTTTTTTTTTTAACAAAAAATGATGACAACAGTACAATGGTGCAATGAAATGTTCAGGATGAGAAAAAACGATTTCACTCGCTAAAAACAAAATAAACAAACAATACAATTAAGCATACAATAAGTGTGTGAAATAAAATACCAAGAAAAGTGAAAAATAAATATATTTTCAAGATCCAAAGAAAAATAGCAAACAACAACATGGTAGAATGTAATGGTGCAAGTAGGATGAATTTGTATTTATAAGTATTTCACAGGCAGCACGGTGGCGCAACTGGTAGAGCTGCTGCCTCTCAGCGAGCAGGTCCTTGGTTCAAACCCCGGTCCAGGGGCCTTTCTGGGTGGAGTTTGCATGTTCTCTCCGTGCATGCGTGGGGTTTTCTCCGGGTGCTCCGGTTTCCTCCCACAGACCAAAAACATGTATGTTAGGCTGATTGGTAACTCTAAATTGTCCCTAGGTGTGCATGAGAAAGTGAATGGTTGTTTGTCTTGTTTGTCTCTATGTCCCTGTGATGGACTTGCGACCCGTCCAGGGTGTACCCCGCCCCTCGCACAGTGATTGCTGGACATGGGCACCGGCGACCCCCGTGACCCAAAATGGAATAAGCGGGTAAAGATAATGGATGGATGGATGGAAGTATTTCACAGGTGGCAATATAAGCTTAAATGCACACGATATTGCATAACTGACATCTACCACAGGTTATTGTGGTGGAGTGGAGTTTTTTCAAATATTTTATTTTGAAGGGGCGAAAGTGTTGTGACCTTTTAAACATGTGAATATTGAAATAACGTTAATGATCGATTTGTAAAATATTTTTGTTAAAACACATTTACATTTTATCCCTAAATTGAAGGTTTTGCAAAATTTTATATTAATTGGCAACAAAGTCCATGCTCAATAATCCAGGTATAAAATCCAACGTTTTTCAGTCAGGTCATCGGGACAGTTTCTTTTTTTTTTTTTTTTTTTTTTTGTGCTGGAACGTTTCACCTTCGATCCGGAAGGCTTCATCAGTCAAGGAAAAACACAACAAAACTGATTCAAAGTTCCACTTTTGAGTAAGCTGTTTTTTTTAAAATACATTCTGTAGTGAAGGTACTCCAGTAATTGAGTATGAACTTTAAAATTGTCAACAATTACCCTTTTTTTACATTTTGGTCTACAGAAATGCACATTTTTAATGTAAACTCAATTTGCATGGCTTTATCGAGCAGACTTCAACAACCAGCTTTAAAAAGTTTTATTGCTGATGTTTGCTGTCAGGGAATTCTTCACAGCTAAGTATGCCTTCAGTTTGTAGTCATTGTTTGGCTAAGTTGTATGTGTTTGGGCAGAGACTATCGGTTTAAATAAATAAAAAAAAGTAATAATAATGATGATGGTTTACAGTCATTGCTTTTATTTTAGCGTTCTCAGTTCCATCAAAGAAAAGAAAAGCGACAGTGATGCAGCAAGTCTCCACGATGGTGTCCGCAACAGTCGCCCAGCTCAGAGAGATGGACGCTGCCATGCAGGAAGACGCCCGTCTGCAGAGGTTGATGCACCATGAGAGAGAAATGCAGAACAATTTAATGAGTCGGCTTTTAACCATGAATGAAAGGATCGGTCGAGAAAACCATGTGAGGAACCTTGAACTTGTTGACAGAATACTTTCCAGGTTCCCTTCATCGTCATCTTCCTCAGGCCTCTGATGGACTCTGAGCGATGAAAGCTGGAACACTTCAAGACTCCACTGCCAGCTGACTAGTGCCTAAACCCACCGAGGTTTTACTTTGACTGTCTGTCCCATAAGGACCATTGTCTTTGTGGATGGTGCACATTCAGGTCAAATTAAACAGGTCATGTTCGCACCACTGATGCAGATTTTCTGCTCGTTAACATTATTTTCCTCCATCTTTAGTTATTTTCCTCCATCTTTAGTTATCCACATGACTCTAAACTGACAGCAGTGCTGGAAAAGGTTGTAGTTCAGAAGAACAATAATTTAAAATGAGCGGTTAGCCGTACAGTTGCTAAAATGAAAAATATATATTTTTGAATTAAGCATTTAAAATCTATTGAACGAAAACGTTAAATTGTCTGAGTTAAGTATAAAAGTATTTATATTGGTAATGTCCCATTTTGTAACTTTAGTTGCAGAGGAGTATTTAAAAATATTGCAGTATGCTGTGTAGTTTTGGTCATTTATTTTTGCTTTGACCTTTTGAAACCATTAGATTAACCGTTTAACATCCTAATTCAATTTACAATGTAATAAAAATGGTTGTGCCTCTTCAAATACAGCTGATTTTTAAATTATTTCTTGAGAAAACAATATTTTCTTTTATCCCTTGTATCGGTTGGACATCAGTCCAACTTGGTTCAGAAAATAAAGAGAATTTATAAAGAGTGAGCCGCGTTAACTGTGCCTAAAGCAGAGCCACATTAAATTTAGGCATCTGAAACGATGCAGATCTAGTGGTTTGAAGAAATTCTGTGTCGTCTTTTTACCAGTTATTTACAGTTTCACTGTTGAGCCTGTAGTAGCTGCGGTCTTGTAGTCCTGAGGCTGCAGATTTGAGCCCAGTTTGTCTCAAGAAGGACATCCAGCCTCAAATCTTTCTTACAAATTTGCTTGTGGCAGAAGGGAGCAGCCGAAAGAAAAACAGTTACAGTATCGCTGTTCCACATGCGCTGACCGTGTAGGTGTTTGATTATATTAGAGCTCCACACAGCCCCACTAAAGAAAAAATACTTTTATTTGTCAAAATACATTTTTATAGTTTTCCCGCTAAGATGGAAAACGCAGCAAAACAGAAAGATTTTACAAAAAATACTGCAATAACTAAATTATTTTCTAAAGCTATTTTTATTCTGTTTCCCTGTTAACATTTCCTAAGTGTATATATAGTTTTTTTTTTTTTTGTCATTTATAAAATGTTTGGTTTTGTTTTGCATTATGTTGACTCTCCAAACAAAGAACACTTAAGATTTAATAATTTTTTCAAATAAATCAAGCTGTCACTTTTAGTATTGAGTTGTCAAAAAGTTAGAACTAATGTAGATACTTCCTCTCCAAATCAGAAGTTAACCAGCATAGTTAAATAAATACAAAAGAAAGAATTTATTTCTAATGTCTGATACATGGTAGATGTGTCACAATAAGTTTTTTTTTATTTTTTTTTAGGTTTAAAATAATTTATTTAAAAATGTATATAAGCAACCATCAATCATTTCAGAAAATAATATTAAGTGGAAAGTAATCGGAATCAATCGTTTAAATTGTTCATTTGTGTTTCTTTTTAGCGGGACACTTTTTGGAAAGAGGAATAAAAATCTGAGTTAGTCGTGTGAACAAATCCTGCAGCGTGTTGGGAAAGAAGCTGCAGTGTGATCAAAGCTCTCAGCAGAAGCACTCAGTCCAATAACTCATCTAGTCTACATGTATCTGTTTGTTACAAATTACAGGACATAAGTGGAGGTTTTTATTCAAGCTTTCCAGATGAAGAGGCTCTAATGGAGGGTTCCTGACACAGTTTACGCATCATAACTTCTCAAAGACCATTAAATCCACAATACTGTAATTTAAGTGTAGTTTGTTTTTAATGGGGACATTTGTTGCAGCTGAAAAGCTGTAAAATAAGTATTATATAGAAACAGACAATAACTGGTCAGTTTAAGAATGTCGAGTTTATTCTTAAAACCATGACAGCAGCACATGATGGTGAGAATCCAGAAGAAGTTGCTGTCACTTTGTCGACGCAGGTGTCATTCTTGGCTGACACGAAATTCCCGGTTGCGTTCACAGCTGCCAGCAATCCGGGAGAAAACGTGTCATTGAGGAAAGACACCATAATCAGAATGCAGCAGCAGACCTTTATCAAGAAGGTGATACAGAACTGAATCGTCTAGTTTCTCTATAGATTTGTGTTTTATGAAAGCTATAAGCCAAATAGATAAGTCTATCTAGCAGGTTTTAATATTCACAGGTTTTATGTATTTTTATTGAAGATGCTTCTACATTGTTCTGAACCTGCACTTTATTGTTTTAGAGCAGCCTTTCTGTTCTGCTCTTCTTGACAATAAAGTTTTTAAGTGACTGGATGAGTTAATTATTACCATCAGACACAAACTAAACAAAACAAGCCAAGTCTCTTTAAAAAATACATGCATACAAGAGGTCGTTGAGCTCAAACGTCCTCATTGAAGCGAAGAGCGCTTGTCGTGGATTCAGGACGTTTTGTGCGCCGTGGGATGGAAACGGACCCCATAACCAGCTGCAGCTCAGATTCACAGCTGCATTATGGGTTCCGTTACAATCCCACTCACAAAGAACAAGGTTCAGAGCAAGACTCGGGTCAGCACTGGTGCAGGGGGAAAAGTTAGAAACAAGAACATTTGTACCAAAACATGTCAATGTGCAAATTTGACAGATATTTCTTAAAATGA